GGAGCCCAAGCCACAGCAGCAGCCTGCCTCTTCACTACCCTCATAGCTGATTCTATGATAAGTGACACCCCCCACCCCACCCCATGTTAAAGGCAGGGAAAGATACCTAGTCTAACAATCAAGTAAATATAGTACTTGAATACTAGAATATGGTAAATATGGTACAGAGTACTAGTGAGGAGGCACAATCATCATCTCCCCCCTACCCCTGCCTTTTCTATTGGGAACACCATGCTATGCATCTTAAGATCAGAGCGATGAGAAACATTTCCCTTCCCCCCGGCAATTACATCCCCTCCTTCACCACATTCTGGTATTGTACTACTCGCCCCAATGCTAGCGCTCCTCATTTTTTGGTTCAGGCCTACACGAGGCGCATTTGAGTTCTCAATGTACACTGCACCCTCACATGTGGATAACATGTCACAGACTTCACATACCTTCAGCAAGCTCAGGTGTAGAAGCTGGTGGGATCTCCCCCACCTTCCCTATTTGGGCACGTTGTGCACCAGCCCCAGAAGGCTGTGGCAGAGGTGACTCAGAAGGACCAACAGGTACAGCTCCCCCATCTTTGAAGGGGTTCACTTTAGGTTTGGGAGCAACCACAGGAGCAAACTTCTTTTGGGGGTTGTAGAAGGTAGGGGTAGAAATATTGATGCTGACTGTAGAGGTCATACGAGTTCCTGGGGGACCTGGTGAAGCCATCTTGTTAATGGCTATTCAGCACCTGTGCGAAGAAGGCAAGAACAAGAGGCACAAGATGTCAGACATGAGACTGTAAAAGAGAAATGCAAAGGAATTTGAGGAATGCACAGTAGGAAGCCAACAGGAATAAGGGTTGTGTGTGTACACATATAGGTTCTACAGAGGCATTAATAAACCTTGGGGTACCCCTTAGGATTGAAATACAGCAAAAAAATAAGACTCTTAAATGAAAAAAGGTGTCCAAAATGAACATGACCCCAATGATCTAATTTACTATCTTCACTCAGGGATGGTATAAGGCAAGGATAACTATCCAAAGCAAGTGACATCCCCTACACCTGTTCCAGTACAGCGAAACCTTTAACCCAGTGGCTGTCAACTGGGGGTATGTGTACCCCTAGGGATACTTAAAAAGGTCATGGGGGGTATGTAGACCTAATGTGGCCGAGGAATGCTGCCTGCGTGCGTGCAGCTGCAGCACAGCATGCAGGAAGCCAGGTGTTGGAAGGCTGGGACAGGGGCTGCATAGCTGGCATCCCATCCCACCTCACATGCAGATCCAGGGGCACATGCTCCACCATGCCATCCTGGGGTGCATGCAGTAGTGGGAGCCACCCTTCCCCTCCCTGGACAAGCCGGCTCATCCAGGGGAAGGGGCAGATCCCACTGCTGCATTTGTCCCAGGAGGCATGGAGGCATATGTCGTGGGATCTGTGTGCAGGCTGGGGCTCTTCCCAGCAGGGGCTGGGTTGGGCTGTGCTCTGAGCCAGGTGGCAGCAGCGCTGGGAAGGGGCTATGGGGTGGTTGCAGCCCTCTTCCAGACTTCGCCATAGCCCCCCCAACCCTCCTCCCAGTGCCACTGCCACCTGCCCCGAGTGCAGCGCAGCCCAACCCCTTGCCGAGAAGAGCCCAGTGCAAAACCCAGCCCACAGTGGCAACCTGCCTTGCATGCAGATCCAGAGGCACACAGCCCCCCCCCGCCCACGCAGCTGAGTCCTACATCCTGTCCAGGCAGTCCCTGCCCCAGCCCCATTCCCTCCCCACCACTGGGCCAGCCCACCCCGAGCACAGATCCAGGGGCACATTCACCCATGACCTCCCAGGGTGCGTGCACTGGTGGGAGCCACCCCCACTTTCTGCGGTGCCTGAACAAGCCACCCACGGCTCCGTCCGGCACTCTGCCCCGGCTGTGCAGTCCCAGCCCCACTTCCTCCCTCACTGTGGGGGCCTCGGTCTGCCCCCCTCCACCTTAAAAACAAGAAAAAAAATATATATATGAGGGTACATGAGCTGGAACTTTGGGAGAAAAGGGGTACACTTGTTAAAAAAAAAAAAAAGGTTGAAAACCACTGCTTTAACCCTTTGCTGAATGGCATGAATAAAGATATAGTATTTACAAATGTAAATGGCAGGAAAAAAATCCAGGAGAACAGAGTTCTTGGAGATGCCAGCCTTCTGCAGAGGGGCCAGCAGCCCCCTTGAAACAGCAATATTTGCATACCCCAAATCACAATGCTATCCATTTCTTCCTGTATCTTTTCCAGACACAATACCTACCTCTCTGTCATCACAACCCCACCCCCAAAACTTTTACCTCTAGGCCCAGTTTTCTCCAGACAGCTAACAAAGCACAAACAGCTGCAACGCAAGAACAGAAGAAAGCCTAGGGGATTTCACAGCATAACACATTCCTCAGACAAGGTCTCCGTCTTGCTCTCCTGCTCTGATGGTTTTGCTGTCCCTGTCACTGCGGTAATAGATAAGAGCTCTTAAAGCATCCTCACTAGCTGCAACAACGGGCAGCCTGTCCCGCCTCCTCCCTTTCCTACAGGAAGTGACTTCTTGATCTAGCCAGCCCCACTGACACACTCTTGGAGTCACTCCCTCCCAGCCCCTGCTGCACAGATGTTGTACTAAAGCCAGCCCATTCCACTTCTGACCTAGCTTCAGGGTGCAGCAAAGTACAGTGCTGCCAAAGCTTCAGGGTGCAGCAGAGTACAGTGCTGCCAAAATAACCTCTTTTGTTCCACTATATGCTCACAGTTATGCCAATGCTAATGTGGCATGTGGCTTACCTCAGTCAGCTAGACCAGTGTTTCCCAACCAGTGTGCCACAGCACAAAAGTGTGCCATCAGAAATGAACAGGTATGCTGCAGAGTTTTGCCATGGCAATGAGCTATAAGTATAAGGATGGGGAATGCCTCAACAGGTGTGCCACAGAAAATTTTTATTAATGTAAGTGTGCCTTGGGCTGGAAGAGGCTGGGAAACACCAAGCTAGACATACCCACTGCTGGTATAGGAACTCAGATCTTTAAAGGGGGGGGGGGGGCACAGAATCTCTTCAGAAATAAAACTCTCCCCTTAATCTTTCCCCATCTTTCCATGAATTAATTTACCTTTAAGATATTTCCAAACTCAGCATAATCAGTACTGGAGATCCTATGATAAGAGTGCCAATTTCTAAAAAACTTCTCATCCTGTTATTCAGCCCACAGATCTCGCCTGCACTAAAAGTCTGCAGTGCCAGCAGCTCCAAGTTCCACCAGTATGGCCTTAACATCAGTACGGCCTAGTACCCACATACAGTAATACTCCCAGTGGTGCGCAGGCAAGCATACTACCAACCTTCAAAGTCAGTTGGTTTTGGATAAAGCACTGCTTTGGACAGTGTTCCTCAACAATACCAGCCCTTTTTCAGTCAGCATGGGCAATAAGTGCAGCTATAAAACAGTCCTGATGCTAAAAGCAATCCTCAGCATTGCTGTCCCACTGATCATCCATTACTGATGAAGCCTGTATAGGTGGCCAGAAGTTAATGATATGCCCAAAGTTTCCAAACTGTGGAGATGCCATGGAGGTGGAAAAAAAAGGGGGCACCCCAGGGGAGGACAAGGAGCAGGCCATAAACTGTTAGAGCAGTAGCTCCCAACCTCAGATCGCAACCCAAATGAGGGTTGCGGGGGCAATGCCAGCAGCGCTGCACACAAAAGACGAGCTGTGCCGGGAGCTCCCCTGCCCTCAGGGCGCCGCTGCTGCACCCTGCTCCCAGCAGTGGGTCACAGCAAAAAAAAAGTTGAGAACCACTGCGTTAAAGGATGGTTTCAGGCTGGATGTAAAGAATTTCTTTATGGTAAGGGTGACCAGAATCTGGAATAGACTTCCCAAGGGGGTGGTACAGTCCCCAACCTTGGAAATCTTCAAGGGGAGGCTGGACAGACACTATGCTAGGATCATTTTTCTCAGCAGTTCTCCTGCCCAGAACAGGAGGGTTGGACTCAATGATCTCTCAAGGTCCCTTCCAGACCTTAATTTCTATGATTCCATGATTCTGAAGTTTGCCTTTGCACTCAGAAATTAGGGGTGCGCCGATAAAGATCTTTTGGGCAGATACCAACGGTCAATTAAATGAGCCATATCTGCTGATATTGATCTGATTGCCGATATGCAAGCCAGGCAGTGTGGAGAGCAGCATCCAACTGGTAAGTCTATTAGGGGAAGGGCAGATTGAGGCCCCCCGTGGTGAGGGAAGGGCTGGGGCAAGGGAAGGGAAGGGGCAGGGCAGGCACTGCCCAGCCAGGGCAGGGTGCAGGACGGAGCCGTGAGCAGCTTGTCCAGGGGGCGTGGAGGCCAGCTCCCACCGCTGTGCGCACCCCTGGAGGAGGCACAGGGGGCATATGCCCACCAGATCTGTGCACAGGGCAAAGGCAGGCTGAGGCCGGGGCGGTGCTGGGCTCTTCCCAGCAGGGGGGTTGGGCTGGGACTGTGTCTGGGCTGAGCAGCAGCAGCACTGGGAGGAGTTACCACTGGGAAGCTATGGTGAATTTTGGGGTGACTGTAGCTGTCCTGGCTGGGCAGTACCTGCACCAGCCCCACTCCCCCCAACCCCCTTCCAACAGACTTACCAGTCAGACACCGCACTCCAAATTGCCAGGCTGCACTCCTGGCCATATGCATACTGTGGCTGTGCACATGCATGCAGTATTTAAATCGGCAACATTAATTGGCCACATCAGTCGAAAAAAGCCGACTGTCAATTTTCCTTTTATCAGTGTCTATATGATATGAACGGATATATCAGTGCACCTCTATCAAAAATGTGTCTCATTCCCTCATCCTCACCCATTCTCCTCCAGTGATGGAACTATTTCTATCTGGATAATTGCTTCTTTCTACAGTCATTAGTTACTAAAACCCAAGACCCATTTCACCCAGTATCAGACATTGGCACTATTAAAGTTTCTCAGAGTCCTGCAGAATACCTCCATATATCTGAATGAATACTATGGTCAGCTAGTGCAAATCTCCTGTATAAGCAAACAAATTGCAAACCCCACCCAATGATCCCTTCAGACGTATGTATGTATTCTAACTCCAGCAAACATCCTCTTTCTGAAAGATTCAGAGTCCTAAGGGCACTGCTTTTCCAACACTCTGGAGTCCGCTGTTGAAAAGAGAGGGGGAAAAAAAATTACACTCTACCCTCCCACACTCCCTCTACATAAGCCGATTCTGGAAAAAAGGATCCCCTGACCAAGCTGCCTCATTTCTCTCGGTTGTGCTTGTATGAAAAGGGAGCAAATGCGCAGGACAGGATCTTCAATGGCAGACTTGAGAGCACTGAAGAGCAGATGTATCCTACAGAGACCTTAACTGATTAATATAGATCTCAATCTCATCTACAGTCTAGGCAAGTCACTGGAGCTTATTTTGCCTTTGCTAGGTTAAGGGAGGACCCATTACCATTACAATCTTATCTTGCCAGGTAGAAATTTACAGGCCATGAGTCAGTCACTGCCAGATTGTACTTGCACACCATCATGGGGACAGTCTCCACAGAAAGGATTCTGGGACATCGGCTGCTTCATGCAGACACTTGGATTCATTACCTGCAGCAGTCCCATTCTCCCATATACCCAAGCCGCTCCTTTCACTACACGTTCTACTTAGATCAAAGCTTCTCTCTATTCACAGCAGCTGCCTTTGCCTGTCCTAAATGTTACTTACAAAGTGATCTTTCCCATCTGTTCAGCCACCACCCTACATGTCAGAGGAAACTTAAAAAAGAAAAAGTGGGGCAGCCAAGGGACAGCTTTCCCCAATAACTTGCAATACAGCTGCTTGCTGTTTTGCCCCCTTGTCCAGTTCTACTGGTACTCAATTCCGAGCTACAGCTCCCCTGAACAGACAATCCAGTTCAGGCAGGTCTGCTATCCATGCATATAAACGGACAAAAAGGTTGTGTCAGCAGCAGAGGCCCGATCCTAAATCATCATGCTGCCCTGCTATCAGCAGCAATATTCAGGAAGCCCAGTGGAAGTGTAGAGGAAGGCGTCACCAAAGCCCCAGGCAAAGGCTACCTTCCCACCCCCAATGTCTTCTCTACACACCTGGAACACAAACTGCTGTCTGTCCTGCTGGCCACAGATGCATCACCTACGCAGAAACAACCCAGTTTAAGGAAGGTGCTCACATTTGTGAGCAAACCAATCCTCAAGTACAATAAAACCTTGGACTTGAAACCTTGCAAACACCTGAACGTCACAAGCCGGTCTCCACGCTCCCCCACGCTCGCACGGGGAGGAGGGGCCCTCCCAGTGCCCTCCTAGTTACTTTTTTCCTTCCACGAAGGGAAGGGCATCTCAGCTTTAAATCAGGCAAGGGCGACACACCATCCAGTAACCCATCTCGCGATTTAACTCTGGGCTCCGCACGCAGTCACCCGCTTCCTCCAAGTGAAAAGCAGCACAAGGGAAGTGCCCCTACAAAGGCGAAGTGAAAGGATCAGCTGGAAGCAGCGCCACATTCACTTCACCCCCCAACTTTTCGCGGGTCACTCCTGCAAAAAATAAATAGCTCCGCTGGCGAAAGAGAAGAAAGTCTCGACAACAGCCACAAACCCTTCCGCGCACCCGCTGCCGGCCAACGGCCCGCCCCCCCAGGGGGGGGGGCCCAGCA